TTGTAAGTGAACTTTGCATCTTCACAGGACTTTCCCCCGGGCAGGCAGCTCAGGCTTGGCATAAACATCTCAACTGCTGACTTGCAGCCCTACGGGCAGTGTCTGACTCACCATGATGGATGAGGAAACTGAGGCAGAGAGGGGACGTGACCTGTTCAAGTGAGCTGTCTCTGGGAAGGCTCAAACCTCCCAGGCCTTCCCAGAGACAGGTGGTATCCAGGTAGCTGGATTGTTTCCCCAGGTGGAACTGGGCTGCCTGTGGGTGACCCGCAACCATGAGCCAGCAAGCTGCTCCACACAGGGTCATTCAAGGGGACCTGGCACACTCAGCACCCCTTTTCCCTGGGGCTGGCCCCAAGGGCCAGAGTTTCTGGAAAGCCTCCCCCAACTCAGAATGCTGTTGGGACTGTGTCCCCAGGCAAGGGGACACAGAAATCCCCAATAAGAGGTTCCCAGCCTACTGAGGCCAGTGCGGCTTCTCCCTAGCTGTCTCGCCTAGGGGTTCACCTGGTGTGTGTGCCTTCGGTCCATAGCCCCTTGCAGTGTTGTGGGGAGAGGATGTGGTCTGTAGCAGGAAGAGCCAGGACGCACTATGGTCAGGAGTGCCTGATGACAAAACCCTGTCATGCCCATCATTCATGCAGGAGAGGACAGGTGTGGCCGGGAGGCAGCAACTGGGAGCAAGTGGAGCACACACAGCTGGCCCTCCCTCGCAGTCTGCCTGCAGGGATTGGGAAGATGCCTTCCACCCACTGCCCTGGAGAGCCTCAGCCTCAATCCCTGGGTGCCCCTTTGTCCAGCAAGGAGCTAGCCTTTGGCTGGAGCCCAGCCCACTCCTGTCTGGTCCAGTGAAAAACACACTTACCTGTCCAAGCCCAAAGAATGGACTAAGAGACATGAGGGCAGCAGAAGCAAGGTTTTCCTTCAATGATGGTCTTGCAAGATCAATGATGGTCTTGCAAGATCAGGTGCCTGGTGGTCAGGACCCTCAGATTGGATACAACCAGTGTTTTATCCTCATTGGCTGAGTACCTAGGGGTACACAGTCTTCCGGAACATCACTTAGGTTTTACTGCCTCCTGCTGGGTTGTTTGAAGAAAGGTATCTTTTTTTTTTTTTTTTTTTTCAGAGAGAGAGAGAGAATTTCAATATTTATTTTTCGGTTTTCGGCAGACACAACATCTTTGTTTGTATGTGGTGCTGAGGATCGAACCTGGGCCGCACGCATGCCAGGCGAGCGCGCTACTGCTTGAGACACATCCCCAGCCCGAAGAAAGGTATCTTTAGTTGTCCCCACCTCCCTGTATTCTCTCGGCAGGAAAGTCCCCCTGGGTTGAGCTGGTGCCAGGTGGCTCGAGACTAAAATACTCAGGGGTCACTCCAGGGGAACTGGGCTGATTGGGCTGCACGAAATAACCACACAAGAAACAATACCTTTTTCTTTGGGGGTGCTGTGACTCCTCTGACCTTAAGCTTCCGCAGAAAGAGCGCACACTGACCCCTTTTATTGAGGAGAAACTATTCAAATGAGGCAAGGGCTCATGTTTCAGGGGGCTGAGTCTATCTTTGTGATGTCTGCTGTCAGCAGGTTGATTGACATCAAGGTAGGCCACACCCAAGGGCAGAGTAAGAGAAGGGGACACACACAAGGCATTTCCATGGAACATTCTATCCCAAACAGAGCAAGGGTAATATTACAAAGGAACAGGTGAGCGTAGCTTCACCCATGGGGATGCAGGAAGGCACGCCCATGCACAAAGACACAGTGGCTCGCACCCTAGAAGACGGGGCTGTCCAGCAGCATGACTGCCAGATGCCACACCGCTCAGCAGGGGAGAGAGACCCAGTCACGTCTAGTTCAGCCCCCCACAAGCTGGCACATGCACAGTTCCTCTCTGTTGCTTGGGTCCCTTCCTCTCCCCTCCTGTGTGTCCAGGACTGTGACTCTTACACTCAGCATTACCTGCACATAGCTTTCTATTCTGCCGTCCCCTCCAGCTGCTTTTGCTACACCCCAAGGCATTTTACATTTAAGGCTAGAGACTGTATTTTGAAAACAAACCACCAGACTTTCCATTTCTCACAGGCCTGGCCCTTGGGAAAGGAGCTTCCCCCACTCAGTTGAGCCCGTGCCAGAGCCATGGATTCGTCTCTAGGCCATGGCACCCCAAGCCAATTGGTCTGCAAGAGCTCTCATGCCCAGTGGTGACTGCCCAGTTCCCGGTCTCCCTGAGTATCCATTTTCTAATTTCACTCAGTTCCCACACCAACGCCAGCAGGCCCTCTGGGACCCTGCGGTGGAGGCTCCCCAGGACACCCACCTGGCCATATCAGGGCCTGTCTCCAGCCTCCCCGCCTGGTGGTGGCAGCCTCCCTGATACTGGCAAGTCCTTCAACTTCTTATCTGGGCCCTAGTGGCCAGGGTGCTCTCTTCTGCAGTACTCATACTAAAACCCTTGGGGTAGCCCAGCATAGGAAAAAAAATCTGTTTATTTGTTACTCTGTGGCAGCAAAATTGAAAAGGTGATATCTTTAAAAAAAAAAATCATCTAAATGGGAGACTCCAAAACCCCTTGGCAATGGGGGAGGCTACAGCCAGTGGCTTTATACTGCACCACACAGGAGCCAGATGTCCCAAGAAAGCCCTGTGAGAATGAGCTGAACTTGTGCTGAGTAGACAGGGCCTCATGAACCGACAGCTCCCCAACTCCTCACCCCCTGCAATTTGCAGAGGCAAAGACCTGAGGCTGGGGTTGCAGTGGGGTGGAGTGGAGCCCAGAGAAGGGGTCATGAGGCTGCAGCTCTGTCGCCAAGCCCAGGCCCTCTCAGACCTGAGAAATAAACCTTTTGCTAACCAGTGTTCTGTGCCAGACCAGGTGTCTGTGCCCCCACCTCCCACCCAGCCATGCAGACCTCTGGGGCCCAGGTTGCTGCTGGGAAAACAGATGCAGGATGACTGAGCCATTTCAGCCATGAAGGAAGCCCAGTGGACCTACAATTCACCTGCTCATTAGCATGCCGATGTAAAGCATGGCCCTGACCACATTCCCACCCATCTTGGTATGGTCTGCTTTTGACCCCCAGTTGAAACAGGTCCAGAGAAGAATCTGAGGACAGGGACTGGTGCCCTCCAGAGAAATCAGAGACAATTCTTTCCACTAACCCCTGTCTTTCCTCCTTTCACACTTTTTAAAAATACCTTTATTTTATTTGTTTATTTTTTATGTGTTGCTGAGGATAGAACACGGTGCTCTATTCCTGAGCCACAACTCCAGCCTGCCCTCAATCTTAAAGACCCGCATCCTTTGTTTGATTGAGTTATTTCTCCATGATTCTTTCAGTTCTGGCTGAAGAACAAGCCTTCCTCCTCTGCCTAACTGGCTCTCAGTTTGTAGGGGAATAACAGCCAGCTAGGGTCAGAAAGGGGTGACAGTTCTTGTCCCTGCTGTCTGATTCCTGCCCGTGTCTCTCAAAGCTCTGCATCTACTTTCTGAAGTCTTTTGTCTTTTTCAGACATTTAAAAGAGTTTGTGGTGCTCTCTTCTGCAGTACGCATACTAAAATCAGAAGCCTGAGAAGATGAGCATGGAGGACGCAAATTTGCGATGCGGTCCATTTTTTTTTTTAAGTGCTACATATTTTAAGTGGCGTCAATGTTGTTGAAATTCCTTTTATTTAGCCCCACCCCCACCCCACGCATGTACTTTTCTGGGCCTCATGTTTATGACGGGAAGGAGCCCCAAGAGAAGAGGCCACTCAGGGACTTCCCCGTCACCCACCCCTCCGTACGGGACACTGTCCAGGCCAGACCACGTGGTACTGAGGGGTTGATCACGACGCTGGCCCTTCAGCACCTTGAGAGCCCCGGATGCTGCTGGCAGGAAAGGGCCCAGGGCAGACCTGAGTCCGTCTTGGGGAAGGACCCTGAAGTCCCCAGGGACTCGGTGAAGAGCGAGCCAGGGCGGGCTGGCGTTTAGGACACGACACAGTTTCCCACCCCTCCTCCCGTCCAGGCCTCGGTGGAAGCGGGGGCTCCCAGGCGCGGGTCTGGCCGGCAAGTCTCGCCCACGGGCCCTCGGCCCCGCCCACCGACCGTGGCCCCGCCCCTGCTGCGATCGCCCAGCACTCGGCCCCGCCCACCGACCGTGGCCCCGCCCCTGCTGCGATCGCCCAGCACTCGGCCCCGCCCAGCCCAGGTCCCAACCGGCGCTGGCTGTCCTCGGCCGCGCACCCCTCCTCTGGACACTGCCCAGGGGTGCCACGGCGTTGCGGGAGGCGTGGCTCGCCCGCTGTGCTGCGCCGACTGCAGTCCCAGCTCCCGCCTCCAGGCGTGAAAACGCTGGTATCCGGAGTGACTAAGGCACCCAGGGCCGTTTGTCACAGGCTGCTGCAGCTTCAGCTCAGGGGTGGAGAGAGGCTGAATGGGCCACTGGGACTGCCGGCAGGGCAGAGGGCAGCATGGTCACCCTCCACCCGACCCGGAGCATAGGGAACCAGGCAGGTGTAAACCCAGCACGCGGAGCTGTGTTCCCATGGCCACTGGGCCCAGCATGTACCCTGGACACAGAAAGGACAGCATCACAGAGACAGCAACTAGAGCCATGCCCACAAGCTGGGGAGGCCGGCAGCCAGGGCAGCTGGAGGAGGGTGGGAGGGCTGTGCCCTGCCATGCTTGGGTCTTGGACCAGTGGCAGGCAGAGCTGTGAGGTCACTTTGTGGTCAGTGGCCAGCTTGTGAAATCAGTCACAGCAGCCCCCGGACACCAGCATACTGTTGAAACAGCAGGCAGTCTCTCCAGGGTCTTTTTGTTCTCACCCATCCCGGAATTTTCCAGACTGTTTGCAGAATCCCTGCCATCACTCTTAACACCCGGTTCTGGTTGTCCCTGTGGGATCCAAGGGCTCACCCTCCTCAAGGCCTTTGTACCAAGGGACTCCCAGAAGAAAAGCACTTGTAAGGGTCAAATGGAGTCTTTCTTTTCCAATGGAAGTGAAAAGAGCATGTATTTTTGTGTTTTTATTTCTAAGTGTGTTTCTGTGTGTTTTGCGGGTGTCTCTCACAGTGAAGAGCAGAGACCCACACCTGCCTTACAGAAATGAGAACCTGACTCAACACAGGGGCTCTGTGCAGTTCCCCGGGAAGGAAACTTGAGCGTGCCCCTGGTGCCGGCCCTATGTCCAGGCAGCTCCACCTGCTCGGCTCAGTCTCCTGCTGAGACTCTTGCTGAGGCTAGGATATCAGGCAGGTGGGAGGGTCAGCCCCAACAGTGACCCAGTGAGGTAGGTGTCATTGTTCCCAGTATCCATATGGGGAAACTGAGTCATCAGCATGGCCTGGCAGAGCTGGGATCCGAGTGGGCCGTGAGTTTCCTCCTGTACTCCAACCTGGTGAGGCGCTAGGCAGTCATCTGCTTGCTCTGTCCCAGCTCCCGACCCCTTCCCCTGTGACAATGAAGTCAGGAAGTCTCGATGTGAAGGAATTCCAAGCGTCCTCTTGCTCTGTGGCAGCTGTATCTCAGCCTTCCTGGGGTGTCTACCAGCATTTTTGACTGATTGGCCTTCCCAGCATGAGTGTCTGGGGCTCCCTGTGGAAAACACATGGACTACCCTACTGGGCACCAACAACTGGCCACCCTGGCTTCTGACTCCCTTTGGTGACCCCTGGCAGCATGTGTCTGCTCAGCTCAGAACCAAGCCCAGACAAGTGTCCTCAGGGCTGGGCTCCTGCCTCTTGCTGCTGCTGGGCTGTGCCAGTGTCTAGGCACTGTGACGGTGCAGGGTGCCCCTCGTTGTGGCTTGTATCGACCTGTGAAGCAGAAGCACGGAAAGCCCCCTGACACACTGCAGCAGTCACCCAGCAATGCCTGCAGCAAAGCACATTCATGAAGCTGTCGTCCAGAGCTCTGCTGCAGCCCTGCGTTGGCTAATGGCTGAGGGAACCCGCAGAACAAGCTGGCATCTCCCTCTGCCCATGCCCATGCTCTCTGGCTCTCTGGCTCCCGACAGCCTGGGAGCATCACCCAGTTACACACTGCCACCTTCCAGTCAGGAGACCCTAGGGGGCAGAGGCTCACCAAACGGGTGGCTCCAGCACATGGACACTGTGGCTGATGGGCAGTGTGACCACGTTTCTGGCCCTGGCTTCTCACACCTGTGGTCCTCCCCTGCAGTACAATGGTCTCAGCAGGTCTCCTCGACCAGCCTCTCCGGGGTGTGCGCTGAGCCCCACTTAGCTGGCTGCAGCCTGGGAGGGTTCACAGGCGGGGGGAGCGCACAGTCGTCTGCGAGCGCCATGGGGAAGTGCATCTCCTCTGAGTCCTTGGAATGCGTGAGCTTGGTGACTTCTGTCTTTGCAGACCACTTCTTCCACCCCTTCTGGATTCTGGACACTTCTTGCCGAGAATGGTCTGTGGCCAGCACATAGATGATGGGGTCAGCCACGCTGTTGACCGTGGACAGGCAGAGGAACACCATGGACACCGTGTACAGGCTGGCTTCAAAGGCACACACCGCAACCTTGTCTCCTCTGTAGTAGGAGAAGGTGGCCGCTTTGATGAGGAGAACCACATGGTAGGGGGCGAAGCAGACCAGGAAGATGACCACCACTGCTATGGCCGAGTGCTTCACCTTGGCCTTCTGGGCAGCGGTCAGGCCCATGCTCAGCTTGATGCTCCTGAAGATCCGGTGGTTAGTAAACGCTATGGTGCAGAGAGGGATGGCGAACCCCACTGCAAACCGCGCGTAGTGGTAGCCCGCGATTTTTTCGTTCATCCGCATTGGCTCGAAGCAGCTCTCCTTCTCTATTTCCATGTCAAACACCGGGTAGTAAACAAGCCCCACGAGGACAAAGACACACACAGAAATGAAGACGGCGGTCTTCTGGAGGCGCCGGCCACGGCTCTCCAGTGCATACACCACCGCCAGGAAGCGGTCGCAGGAGATGCAGCACAGTAAGAGGATGCTGATGTAGATGTTGCAGAAGAAGATGTAGGCGGTCACCTTGCAGGCCCTGGGGCCCAGGGTCCAGCGGTGCTCGTTCTGGATGTAGATGACCCAGAGCGGCAACGTGCTCAGGTAGAGCAGCTCACAGAGCGCCAGGCAGAAGAGGTAGACGGCCAGCACGTTGCCCTGCAGAGCCTGCAGTAGCGTCAGCCACGCGGTCAGGCAGTTGGCCGGCAGGCCCAGCACACACACCGTGCTGTACACCACCACCAGGACCACTCTGCTCTCCTCGAAAGACGCGTTGCAGAGCCCGGCAGACAGTCCCGGGACTGTCTGAGAGAGCGGGGTGGTCACTGGGGTGGCATTTCCTGTGGGGCAGAAACAAGAGTGAGATTTGCAGAGCCAAGAGAAAGCGAAAGGCCCACCAGGTGCTTAGACAATTTCCAGAGGGATTATTGAAAGAGATCCTTAGATCCTGGATGTCCAACCCATTGACCTCATGGACAAGAACACAGGCTGTGCAAGATGCACTCTTTGCAACTCATCCAAGTCAGTTTGAATGAGTTGCATGTTTGAAGAGGATGACAGCTGAGCAAGCGCCCTTCTGAGTACCCCATCAACAGTGTCTGGAGTTAGGTGCTCACTGCTTCCCTCTTCCAGCCTCGATCTTGCTCTGGCCCCAGCCCCTGCCCTGACTTGGGCACTGTCTCATCCTTACACATAGTTTTATCTCTTCTTTGCCTTTTTGACTCTCAGTTACAAAGAAAGATAACTAACCGTCCCTGTCATGATGATAGATTCATCCACTTCTCCTTTTAGGTCTTTCAAGATTTGCTTTCTATATTTGAAGCTTTTGTTAATTGGTGCCTAGAAATTAAAACTCGTTCTGTTTCTGGTGAGTTGATCCATTGGGCATTATGTCATGATGCTCTTTATCTGTGTGGTAGGCAGAATAATGACCTCCTACAAACATGTCTGTATCCTAATCCCTACTTGTGAATGTGCTAGTTATGGCAGCAGGGGAAAAGGTTGCTGATAGAATCAGGATTAATTAGGATCATCTGGCCCAGTGCATCACAGGGAGTTTAGATGTGGGAGAGGGAGAAAGAAAACAGCCATTGTGGCTCTGAAGACAGAGGAAGGGCCTCAGGACAAGGAACATAGCCTCTAAAACCTGGAGAAGCCAAGGACAGGGGCTCTCCCTGTGGCCTCCACAGGGACACAGTGGTGAATCCTTGTAATTTTATGTTGCCTTGGCATCTACTTTGAATGCCAGTCTAAGTTTCTCCTACAGAAGCAGGGCTCATTCACCCTGGACAGAGCTTCAGTTCAAACCCCACCCAAACAGCAGGTCAGGGGTGAGCACCAGGAGCCAGCAGGGCATCTGATAGGACCAGCAAGCCTCCCACGGGGAGCCCTGGTCACAGGTCAGACACCTGGGCCCCGGGCCACCCACTAGGTGAAAGAAGTACCCAGAAAGCACCCTGTGCACATGAGGGCTCCTTCCTGACCCTTGCCAGGGCTGCCGGTGCCCTGGGGCTGGACCCAGGTGGCCGGGCCCTCAGAGCACTCAGCCTCAGCTGGTGGGACCCACTCCAGACTCGAGAAGCCAGAACCCCAAGACCACATGTGTAGTGAAGCCTCTGCATTTATAGCCACTTGCCACATGGGCCTTGGGAAGTCCCAGGGCTCCAGATGCTCCTGGGGACAGCCCTGCTTGCCGCGGCTTCTTGTCCAGCCTGGCCTTCGGAGGCCCCTGAGTTCTGCTTCTTTCTGTTCGTGTTGCAGCACCAGAGACTGAGCTGGGCCCCAACCCTGCTAAGCACATGTCACTAAGCCACACCCCCAGCACAGGACCCTTGAATTCTAGATGTGACACTTACAAAATACTATGGGTGGATTAAAACAACGAATACTCTTTGCCTCTGAACTCTCGAGGTCAGCCCTTTGCATTTATAATACTCTCTATGTACTTTCTTTCTGAGACAGGGTCTTGCTAGGTCAGGCTGGTCTCCAGCTCCTGGACTTGAGTGGTTTTCCTGCTTCCACCTCCAGGGTTCTTGTCCCGCTTGGACATGGGTGACACCTAGGACCCACGGGTGGGTGCCACCACCCCTAGCTTCCCGTATTAGATTTATCCCTCCACCTTGTTTTGCCCTCCTTTGCAGTTTTCCATTTACTTTTACTCCCCTTTTGCTTTCTGCTATGGGCTGAATTCTGTCCTCACCAAAAAAGACACTGTGGGGCCCTAACCTCTGGGGCCTCAGAAGGTGACCTTATTTGGAAACAGCATCTTGACTGAGATGAGCCTGTGAGAATGGGCCCTGAGGTGTCCTTACAGAAAGGGGAAATTTGGGGCTGGGGCTGTGGCTCAGCGGTAGAGCGCTGGCCTCGCACGTGTGAGGCCCAGGTTCGATCCTCAGCACCACATAGAAATCAATCAATAAAAGGTTTGTGTCCAACTACAACTAAAAATAAATATTAAAGGTGGGGGGGTTGGACACAGGCGAGCACAGAGAAGAGGGCCCAGGAGAAGAGGGCCCAGGGAGGGGAGGCGGGGCCAGCCCAGGGCCCTCGGGTGTGAGAGGTGAACTGTGAAGTCAAGGCCCCGCAGGGCAGCCGGGCCTCATCTTCTGGAGCCAGTGACTCCACATTGCTCTACTCCCCTCTCCTCGCTTTGCAACTTACTGATTCTCTGGATGGGTCAGCGATTACCTCGAGGTCTCCAAGGGTGCAGTCACCCCTGAGTGGATCCAGTCTTCACCTCTGGGACCCCTGGCCTGGCCTGTGTTTGACTCATGTCCCCTCATTTCACTTGTATGGTTTTAAAAATGGTGATTTTTAAAAAGTCTGCATAACAACATCCCACTATGGCAACCATCTAGGGCACGCATCCAGCGAGCTCAGAGTGCTGCCCGGGGTCACCCTGGGGTGGGCTGCTGGCCCGTGACCGCCCGAACCCAGCCGGGCCTGTTGCTGTCCTCCTTCCCCTCAGGCTCTGCCCTGAGGTGCGCCCCCTTGCTGTTGTCCAGGTGCTGCTGTAACCAGCTGGCACAGCCCGGGCAGCTTACAGACATGGGGATGTGCCTCGCACCGTGCTGGAGGCTGGGCGCCCCGCAGGGCCAGCAGCCTGCCCTGGGGCTGGTGAGCCTGCTTCCCGCCTCCGCGGTCTTCACTGTGCTGCAGGGGTGAGGGAGCTCCCGGGGCCTGCTGCAGAGGGCACTCACTGACCCCTGGGGACCTAGTGGCCAGGCCCACGCCCTCCTGCCCTCAGCTGGGGGGCGAGGATTTCAGCAGTGTCCGGGCGCTGGAGGATAGCCTTAGTAATGTTCTTCTCTGTCTCTGCGGCTGGTCTGTTTTGCCGTGCCGGGAGGGCATCTGGGGCTCGCGCTACCACTGGGCCACATGCCGCCCCAGAAGGGCTGCTCACAGGAGCCTTTGGGGGCAACCCCCGCCTTGGTTGTCAGATGTGCCTCCACACACAGCTCCCTGAGACGGCTTCCCCTGGACCCACCTCAGCTCCCGGCTGGAGGCCTCGCCCCTGAGCCTTGGCTTGGGTGGTGGTTCTTGTCCTGCTTGGACATGGGTGACACCAGAGCATATTTTGACACAAGACTTTTGCCGGTAAATGGATGGATCTGGAGACTATCGTGCTAAGTGAAGTAAGCCAGTCCCCAAAACAAAGACGGAATGTTCTCTGTTCTGCAGAGGCTGCCCTGGTCCTGGCCTCTGTGGCTGCTGGGGAGTGGCCCCTGGCTGTTGTGCGGCCTCCTCATCCTGGGCTCTGCACACGCTCACCCTGAGCTCTCTGTCCTTCTGCAGTGCTTCCTGGGTGGCCCACACCCGTAGGGCTAGCCTAGTCATCTTTTTATCTGTCCAACCTCTGTGTTTAAACTCACTGGAATTTAGAACTGTGCCTTTCACTACTAGAGGCTCCGCAGGGCTCCTGCTCAGGATGCCTGGCATTGCTGGAGGGCGCTCCTGGGGGGAAGGTGTGGTCCTGGGGGGGGCTTGCTGCCCCAGTCCCACAACAGCGGCCTGCAGGAGGGTCCTCTGATCTCTCCAGCCCTGGCTCCTCACAGTGGGGGGCCCGTGGGAGTCTTCTCTGCAGGTGCCCCATTTGAGCCCCCAGTCGAGTCCTAGGATCACCTACCATCCTGATCAAGTGGAGAATGAACCACAGGAGGTCAGTTTGCAGCATAAACCAGACTCAGGATGTGCCTCTCACTGTGCTGGAGACTGGGCCCTTGGTCTGGGCCATTGCTGGGGCTCGCTGTGACTCCAGAGCAGCACATGGCCTCTGAGGTCAAGAGGATAGAGGCAGGGGTCTGAAGGCCACAGGCCCGTGAAGCTCCTCACAGCCATGCACAGCCACTGCCTGGCCACACCCTCACTGGCCTCTGGCCTCTGGGTCTCCTGTGAGTCCAGCCTCAGCAGTGCTCCTGGATATCCGACCAGCTCAGGTCCTGCCCAGTGTCCTCTTGTGTTCTCGTCCGGGGAGTGGACGGAGCCCAGCCTGGATGCTGGGTGCTTGTGTCTTGGGCCCATGCTGCCTCCTCGGTGCTGCCCTACTCTGCCCTCAACAGGACAGGGTCTCTTCTCCCGTGTCCCTCTCAGCACGTGCTGTTTTCTGATGTTTTCCCCAGAGGTGCTGGGGATGCAGCCCAGGGCCTCACCCTGCTAGGCAAACACTGCACTGAGCTCTGCTCTAGCCCTCTTATTTTCCGTCTTCTGGTAGTGGCTGTCCTGTTGGGTGTGAGGTGTGAGGCACCCCACCCACTGTTCCTCCCACTCTGGCATGTGTCATTGTCCCCAGTCTAGACGGACAAGTTGAGGCAAGTTGAGACTCGGGAGTGCTGAGCTGCCTCAGGGCCCCCAGCAGTCCTCTGCACAAGCCTGTGAGCGGACAGCAGTGAGCAGGGTGCCGGGGCCGCGGGGCCCACAGCTCCCTCCCCTCATGTGAGCACCCTGCCTGTTGTATGAGCCCACAGAGAGGTTGTCCCCCACTTCCTGGCCTCAGATGCCCCTCCCAGCCCCCCCTGCTACCTCCATCCCAGCACCAACGCCTGTTAACCCAGGTGAGGCAGTAGTGAGCCCTGTGGTGGCCCAGGGCCCCTTCATGCTCCAGAGCAGCTCTAGTGCATCCCCCTCCTGCCCTGCACTCCCCCACCATCCAGGGGCTTGGTGAGGCCTGGTCCTGTACCACCTGCTCAGGCCCACGCTCCTGAGGCCTTCACTGAGGGCCAAGTCCCTCCTGCACCTCCCTCCCCCACTGGTGACTGGGCTGGGAGCCTCGGTGCAGGCAGAGGAGCCCCAGAAGGGGAGGCAGCAGGGGCGGAGGGTGCGGCTCACGGTCAGCTCTTCACCACAGTCCCTGACAAGCTCCTCCATGGCCAGCAAGGGCACGTGGGACAGCGGTGTCTCAGGCCCAGTGCTCAGGGGTCCTGGACGTGAGAGCTGCTTCTGTCCCTCACCCCTCTCCTGGCTGTTCCCAGCACTCTCTCGAGGAACTGTGAAGTGGGCACTTGTCAGCTTCCTGGTGGAGCGCCTGTGGGCCTGTGGTCTCCGTCCGCTTTGGTTCAGAAATCTGTCTCTGCACGCTAATTTTTGAACTGTGAGATGAGATGGAGTACGTCATAGGAAGACTCTCATGGACCCTGAATGTTGAAGTTGAAGGAGGCTCACTCACCTGGCATGTTTGCAGGTTCCAATCTCAGGGTGGCTCTAATGTAAGCCTTCTGGTACACCTTGTGCGTCTTGTTGGTCCTACTGAGAAGTGTACTATTTAAAAGGACCTAGAGAAAGCGCAGGTGGAAATTGCTTTAGGAAAAGCAGATTAAATCATGTGAATTAAGCATGAATTAATTCATTTGAGAAAATGATTAGAGAACATTTATGATGTGCCAACTCTTGAATTCATCCTGTGGGAGGCAATATCAGGTCCTTAATATATATATATATATGTATAAAAACTCCCCAAAATCAACAACAGGAAACCTAATAGAATTACTAAAGCCAGTGAACATCACGATGTACATCATAAAAAAGGAATTTGAATTCTCAGTGTCATGGAGAATAAGGAGGAAGGCGATGTAGTGGGGATTGAGGGGAGTCTCAACCATCGTCAGTATGTTTCCAAACATCTTAAGTCTTTCCCTTGGGCCTTCTTGTTTTCTGTTGTCAGCGCTGGACACCAAACCCAGGGCTCCACACCCCCCGAAGTTCTGCCACGGAGCTGCATTCCCAGCCCTGTGCTTCCTTCTAAGCCATCAGGTTCTGTCTGGAGTAGTCCTCACCAGGAGTGACCCACGGCATCGAGTGCGTGTGACCCAGAAGCTGTGTCACAGCCTGTTGCCCAGTGTGAAGGGGATGAGGACCCTGACAGGGACCTCAGACAGAGGGCATGGGCGGTGGGCAGCAGGCTCCAGGGGACCTGCTTCTCTGCATCCCTCACTAACAGGGACAGCCCCCAAAGACAGCCCCCGTGATGACGAGGCAGAGGGTCTGAGGGAAACAGAGCCAGGCCCACTCCAGGGAGTCAGGGAGGACCCGCCCAGCCCAGGCCCACTCCAGGGTGTCAGGGAGGCCCACTGGAGTCCTGGGACCTCCGAGGCAGCCTGGGCTCTCTGGCTCGGGTACATGTGTGTCTCAGTCCTCCACAGAGGAGCGGAGGCTGGGTACGCAGAGGTCAACTCAGGGGCCCCCACTCCACCTACTGTGGCTCGAACCCACCACCACCAGGGACAGCACTGGGTCAGGCACAGAGCCTTACAGAGGTAGGCCAAGTAAGCAGGCCGCAGCCACCAGGAAACCAGGACTCCAGGGACACACACACCAGGACCCCGGCCAGGGCCACATGTACCAAGACCCCAGCTCATGGCTGGCTCAGCTCCTGAGCACCCTGCCTTCCTCTTTCAAGTATGTTTCTAGAAGCTGGAGGTAACAGGAAGCTGAGCCGTTCACCTGAGGCCACAGGAAATTGCTCAGTGTGTGAAGAGTCAAGGCAACCTCTCCACGTACATGACCAAGCGAGAAGTCCAAGCCAGACAGAATCCAGGAAGGCCTTTCCCAGGTGTGGCTGGTGGCAGCAGCAGGGAGGCTACCCACTCCCTCGGTCTCCATTCCTGGGTCTCGGCCAGCAGCCTGTTTCCCAGTGTGAAGGGGACGAGGACCCTCATAGTGACCTGCCGGGACACTACTAGGGGACTTCAGGTCCTCCTGCACTGAGCTCTGCATGCTGTGGTGGAAGATGCCCAGGGGAGTGCACTGTGTGCGGGGCTCTGCCCTCTCTGCCGTCCCCAGCTAGCCACCTGGGGTCATCTGCTGCTGTACCAGCAGAGAAGCAGGGCTTTCTGGCCACTCTCTAAACAGAGGGAGTCCAGGGCACGGAAGTGGTGCTCCCCACCAAGGAGGGTCAAGGAGGTGCTTTCCAGCTGGCGAGGTAGCCACATGGGCCAGGGCCCCCAAGAGAGGGGCTGACGGGATGAGTGCCCACCTGTCCAGGACCAGGGAGGACAGCCACCCCACCTGTGGCCTGCTTCCTCCCGGGCCCAGCCCTGGGTGGCAGGTTGCACTCTTGTACCTCATCTCTTGCCCAATGCTGTGAGCCTCTCTCTCCTTCCAGAATTTGAGGGACACAAGAGGAGCGTGTCCTTACAGAGCAGCAGGGCAGCTTCATGAGGCCACACACATCAGACAGAGTGGAGGCCCCGGGTCGGCATCAGACACCAGCCCTCCCCTGCAGGGCTACCCCAAGCACTGGTCCCTAGAGCGGAGGGAGGGAGGGCCGCTCCACACCCAGGCTCACAAAGGCCACGGGAGTGAGGGCCCATAGGGAACCTGAGAGATGCTTCCCTCCTGCGAGGCTGGCCTCCTGTCCAGCAGCCGGCGGGACGACCTCTGTTACCGAGAGGCTTCTCTGGGCCCCTGCCTGCCTACGGAGGCACAGCCTGGACAGCGCAGCCAGGCACTGCAGGGCACCGTGGTCCAGATCTGGGGCCTGTCTGACCTCTGGGCTCCAAGGGTTTCCCTGGACCACAGCAAGGGGGCAGGTGGTGACACCAGGAGGGGGCAGCTGGTGCTGGGGCAGCTGAAGGGAGGCTGCGGGCCCACGGGACTGAACCCCAGCCCTGGGCTGGACTCCTCCCATGGCCGCCGGGCGCCTGCCCAGAGCTGCCTCCAGCCCTGCCCTGCACACCAGTCCCTAGCCTTTGCTTCTCAGAGTGGGCCCCGCCCAGGCTTTGTCGGGGTGCTCCTGCCCCACAGGCGCACAGCCTCAGGCCAGGCAGGGTCCAGGCCTGGACACTGCCCCCCCACCCTCCGTGCTGCTCCCAGCCGCTTCCCGCTTCCCCTGAGTCTCCTCCCCGCTCAGGTGAGCCTGTGCAGGGCCCTCTCACCTGCTGGACTGCAGGGCTCCCTGTCGGGAAGCTCAGGTGCCGTGTGGCCATCTCTGGAGCAGCAGGGCTGTCTCCCACGAGGAGCGGTAAGGGGCAGCCCCAACCTCCAGGACCCAGGCTTTTCCCAGGAAGGGTGCCCCTGGGCGGGCCCCTCCTGCCCCTTGGCTTTGTGTGCATCAGGAGGACCAGGGCCGGGTGAGGGGGTCCCTTGCCGCTCCACTTTTAGAAGCAGATGTGGCCCTCCAGCAGGGCAGGAGTCAGGCCAGGCCGTGCATAGTGGCTGCTGGCCTCGCCTGCCCTGGCCATTGGGCCCATCTCTGGGGCTCTGACTCAGCTGGGGCAAGGGCCTTGACATGGCAGCAGGGTCCTCCCCATGGGGGATGCCCCCCACCCCATGCCCAGGAGCATCCATGGGTCAGCAATGCCCTCAAGGCCCATAGTACCAACAGGCTCACGTCACCCTCACGGTCTCAGGCCATGTGCCCCTGGTGGCCCCATGTTCCTGGGGAAACTGTGGAGGCTGGGTACAGAGCAGCTCAGCTGGACCCTGGGATGTGGCCTAGGGACCGCAGTCACAGTCCTGAACAGGCAGGCACGGATCAGTCCTGTCTCTTCCACCTGCTCCCAAGCAAGCTCCGGGCATCCCAGGCCGCAGACACTGCTAGTCTCCCCAGCCCCCGCTGTAAACCGCCATCTTCAAACCACACCTTCCCCTTGCACCCCGCCAGTGCCCTCCACCTGACTTCTCCTTTCGTGCCTCCAGCTACCTTCCCAGGGCCCGTCCCCACCCTCAGCTCACACCCCCGGGGCAGCTGCCACTGGCTTTCTGCCCACTCTCCCAGGGAGGAGCTTGCCCAGTCCCTGGAAATGCCAGGCGCCAGGGTCAGGAGTAAGACCAGCCGCAGCCAGCCTCGGCCGCCCAGCACCACCCGGCACCTGCCTACAGCCCCTGGGTTTTAGAATGTGCTCCTCGCCTGTCCATCACAGAGCTCTTCATACATCCGTGGCCGTCCCTGCCCCATGCTTCCCACCCACCCTGGCTGGGGCTTCAGGGACTCCCAGCCTGGGCTGCTGGGCCTCTGAGGCTGACGGGTTTGGTGGGTTCCCCTCCAGGCTCACACCCCTCGCCACAGCAGGGTACTGCGGCTGTCTCCACCATCCTCCTCCCACATCCTTCTTTGAGAACCTACCCTGGATTCGGTCCCCACATCAGGATGTGCTCAGGCCAGAACTGCAGGCTCACCAGAATCAGTCACGGGCTCTCCAGGAGGAGCTGGGGCTGACTTCCTGCCCAGCCGAAGCCGCGTTGCCATCCTTCCCAGTGCGGTAAGGTAAGACCATCGTCTCTGACACACATTCTCTTTGGTTGGACTGCTGGTGAGTGGGCCTCCCACACAGCTGCCAGCTGTCCAACACCTCTCAGCCTTGGCTGGGCCTGGCCCTAACGCACGGCATTATCCATCCTGGATGGCGATGCTGGAAACCACTGCTCAGCCTCATTCTCCAGTCCTCAGTGGTCAGCCCAGCCCCTCGGGGGGTGTGCCCAGCCTGGGTCCATGAACCCAGCAGAATTTACGGAGCCCCTGCTGTGCCAGGTGCTTGGGATACCTAGCCTGAGAGACCTGTGAGCCACCAGCCACAGGATCTTGCCCCATGATTGGCCAGACCACCGTCCACTCCAAAAGAGTCCCTACTGTCCTGCAGTCCCTCCTTATGCAGTGCCTTTCAGCCTAGGCCACCCTGGAGGAAGGAGCCCCATGTCCACAAACCATGCTGCCCCAGGGGGATGGCAAGCACGCAGGCCAGGAGAGGGGAGAGGAAGTCCAGCCTTGCCTGGCATCTGCGCCAACAGCCACGTAAGGATCTCTAGAGAGAGTGGGGGCAGATGAGGACACCCATGTGACAGATGTTCTTGGTGGGCACCGTGCCCCTAAGTCCTATCTTGGGGACAGGCCTCAGGTTAAGAGCCTTCAGCAAGCCCCACCTTTGTTCCAGCACACAGGCAGCCTTCTCTCAGGCCCTCTCCTGGGCCAGCCCCCCGGGACCCTCCCAGCACACCCAGGACAGTGACTTACCCAGGCCCATCCTGCCGCGGCTCTGTGTGCCCTCTCTACAGGCCCCCTGACATTTCAGGAAGTAGAGGGGTCTGAGCATGTTCACTCCGAAACTCCCTTAACCACAAAGCGGAGCTGAGTTGGGGTTGGCTGACAGGCTGGGGCGTTATCTCCTGGCCATGACAGCACGCCCCTCACTTTCCTTGGGACAGGGGAATCAGGAAACGGCTCCAGACCCTCCTGTCTGCTTTGACAGCATCCCCAGCAAGCCATACCTTCTCTCAGGAGATGAGCCGGGACCCAGGGACAGCCACCGGGGGCCAAGGAACAATGCAGCCAGGCAGCTCCATCCAGGTGGTGCCACACCTCCCAGCGTTGTCCCAGGAGACAAGGCAGCACCCGCCGCACCTGGGCCTGGAGAGAGGGAGGCCAGGTCCTCTGCAGCACAGGAGCAGACGCTTCCCGCTCACCAGGAACACCCATGGGTGCCTGCCAAAGACGCCCAGCCCTCCCTCTGCCACCTTCCTAGGGCAGCCTGCAGGCACAGGGCTCTGCTGGGGGCTTCTCCCCGACAGGCCGTGTGGCGACCGGGAGTTGGGGGTCAGGGGCCACCTGGGAAGCTGCCTTCACTGATGGGCATGGGCTTCCTTGGCCCAGTTTCCCTGGAAGACACCAGCCCTGCCAGCGTCACCCACCCGTCCCCGACCTCTCTGCACAGAGGGCTGCCTCCGGGCTTGGGGTGCAGCCCCTCCGTTGCCCAAGCCTGGCACCGTCCTGGCTCTTCCAGCCATGAGGTCATGAGAAGGAGTGTGTCCAGGGACATCTCCAGGACAGCTCTGCAGCCAGCACTGCTCCAGGAGACACGCACACCGGGATGTGCTCAAGGCTGGGCCCTGGGGTTCCCCCAGTTATGTGGGTCTCTGCCCACCCAGGCGCATGGCCATGAGGCCCCAGCCTCGCCCCCTCGCAGGCACCCTGAGCAGCAGTCTCTGTGGTCTCGTGTGGGCGCAGCGGAATCCCAGGATCCTCGAAAGCCCACATGCCATCACGTGCGTGTCCAAGGCACCACCCACCTCAGCCTTCAGGGAGCACCCACCAGGAGCTGGGACCCTCGAGGGGTCTGCCACGCACACCACATCCACTGGGGTCCACCACAAGCCACTGACTGCCATGCCCCTGGGCCTGCGCCTTGGGGAGCCCAGGTGCCCAGGGCAGCGAGAGGGCACAGCCTCCTGCCCCCACCAGCCTGTCTGGGGCGCTCCGCCTTCCGCTTCTAACAAGAGCCCCATCTGGGGCTTGACAGGAGGTGATTTCCAGTGACATCACCCTCTGTGCCCAGCTGCTTCATGTGGCAAGGTTCCCTCCCAGCGGGGGAGATGCACTTCCCCCTTCAGCGCCACGGCCTCCTCCGGGGGTGGCAAAGCCCTGGCTTCATTTATTTTTCTCTCTAGACTCACAGACTTTTCCTCTGTGTGGTGAAGTGTGCTCGCCCCAGCAGTGACGGCTCATCCACTTCCAAGTGAATGGCTGGGTGGCCTTCGCACACTCACAGGACAGCCGCCGTCTCCAGGACGTGGTGGCCTTGCCACACTGAAACAGCCCAGCACACCCGGCTCCTGCCCTGCCCTGCCAGGGCCAGGCCTCTCGCTCTGCGGCTGCATGGCACTGGCTGCTCCAACCTCGTCTTGAGCAGCGCTGCCCGCTGTCCACCCACCTGCGATGGCTTCTTTCAGTCAGCACTGTGTCCTCGAGGTCCTTGCCTGCTGCAGCAGGTATCAGAGCCCCTCCTTGTCAAGGCTGCACGGTGGTCCACTGTGTGCACCGACCTTTGCTTCTCTGCTGGACACGGTGTGGCTTCTTGGCTGTCATGTGTGGGACCCGTGGATTTAACACACTCTGCATCTCTGTCAGTCGTCATTCTTATTCTTATTCTTTTTTTTTTTTTTTTTGGTACTGAGGATTGAACTCGGGGTCCCTGAGCCACATCCCCAGCCCTTTTTTATTTTGAGACCCGGTCTCACTAAGTAGCAGAGGCTGGCTTTGGACTTGCAATGCTCCTGCCTCAGCCTCCTGAGCCGCTGGGATTACAGGGTGCGCCACGCAGGCCTGTCGGTCATTATTCTTGAAGACGCTCGTGTCGTCCAAACTTGACAAGCTGCCCACTCTGCCTCTGTGCTGCTGAGCATGGGGTTTGTCTCTGTAGATTTGTCACTATGGCAAGTCACGTCCACCAGTTTCCAGAAGCCAAGCTGCCTCTCAGTGGGCCCGTCTGTGGTGCCTGACCTGTGGGCTGAGCTGGCAACCTCTGGCCAGGAGGGGTCTTCCTGGCCTTTTGGACTCTGTTGTTGGCTCCACCCACCGACCCTTGGAGGAGGGCCTGTGCTTGCCTCTCCGACCTTTTATGATGCCCAATGGGGCCAGGGTTCCCAGGAGTTTCTATAGGGGGCCTCCCACCACAAGAGGGCCAAAGGTTCCTGGGTTCCAGCCAGGGGAGTTTTGAAGACAGCCTTGCGGAAAGAGGAGCGGCTGGGGAAGGAGAGGGGCTTTTGAGAGGTGTCAACACAAGAACTTGCCAATTCTGAAAGTCCTCGGTGCTAGCCCCTGTCCCTTCAACCCAAACTTGCTGAGTGTGAGTCACCAATGTGCTTTCAGTTAGGCCCAGTGTCAGTGTGCCCCAGTTAGGCCCGTGTGTCAGTCAGATCTTCTTCACCGTGACCAAAATACCTGACTAGAAAAACTTGGAGGCGGAAGGGTTTGTCTCGGCTGGACCATTTCAGAGGGTGCAGCCATGAAGGGTCCATCCTCCCCTTGGAGCCGGCTCAGCTCTGCAGAAGAGGTTGGCACAAAGCTTCCCAGCTCGTGAACCCAGGAAGGAGAGGGAAAAGCTGAGGGCAGATAACCCTTCCAGAGGGTGCCCCTCCTCTCCCAACTCAGTCCCACCTCCCCCCAGTCCACATGCAGTTATCAATGGTGGCTAAAGATGTCCCATCCGGTCATCGCCTGCAAGCCTCGCCTTTGAACCTCATTGCACTAGGGATCATGTTTCCAACCCACGAGCTCTTGGGAGAAATTCCAGATCCAAGCCCTGACGTCCCCCCACAATCCCCTAAGCTCATAGCTACCTCAAAATGCAAAATGCATTCAGTCCATCTCTAGGAGTCCCAGTAGCCTTAACAGAATTGCTCAAAAGTCCAAGTCCAAGGGCTCCTCTTGAAGCCAGATTTAAAGACAGGTAGTTGGTGTAGCTGGATGAATCCAGTCGGTCAGATGGAAAAACAGGAGCCTGATTAGAGCCAAGCACATGGGAAACAGCCCCTGGGAGAATGGAAGGCTCATGTCTCCAGAGCCCTTCGATACTCCCCCTCCCAAAAGAATTGTTTTAAGCAACTCCTGAGCAGACAGGGAGCTGCCCATCGAAGCCCTGGGCTTCTGCTCCCTTCCTGTCCAGCACTCCACCTGGCCCTTCCAGGCCACCTGCTCACCCCCTGGCCATCCCACCGCATCCCCAGCCTCTGTGCAGGGTGAGGGAAATGAACAAGATAAGGGGGAAGAATGCGGAGAACAGGGGACTTCAGACACATAAAAGGGACAGGACTTCCTCATTCCACGGATTCTGCCTTTGGGTCCCCTTCTTCCACGTGGGAGAAGCCTGCTGCACTGTCCTTTAATAAAGCTTCTCACTTCCTACTCCACGCTTGCCTGGGCGTGCTTCTCTGCTGTGACCCTGCAACATGGAGGAAGCAGGACCCGTCTAGGTGACCAGTCACTGGCCGAGTCACTCAAGACAAGCTCTCAGTGTGAGCCTCTGTAAAACTCAAAAGCAAGTGACGTGTATGCAATATGTTATGGCACAGAGGAGACATCCCATTCCACCAGGGAGAAAGAGGGGCATAGAACCTTGGGGTCAGAGCAAGACTGAAACCCTGCTGGGAAAACATTAATCCCCTAGCTCCATGCCCTGTGGGCCCCGAGGCCCGCTGCAGCCCACGTGGCCTCTCTGGAGCTGGCTCTGCTTGTTCCCTGCAGCTCTCCTCAGCAGATGTCCCATACTCTTGGCATCTCTGACTCCCAGGGCTCTCCACTGCAGCTTGGGCTTCACTCTCACGGCTTCCTGGGTCGCCATCTGAGGGCCTGCCTGCAGTTGTCCATGGCTGCTACGCACTGCCTGGCCTCCGAGCTTCCCTTTGAGATCCCAGCAGAAGCCTCCAGGACCCATAACCACAGCAATTTTCATTCCTGCAGATTCTGTACGACATGGCCAGAACCATCACCAGCTTGAGCAGTCACCAGGCCCCCCGTGGACCTCACCGCCAAGTGCCAGGGAGCCGGGCTGAAAGGATCCCTGGGGAAACGACTTCCTAGGCAGCCCAAGGAGTGTGCACTACTGCAGCCCTGAACCTGCAGTGGGTGTGGTCCTGCATTTCCTGAGGTGCCCTCGTGGTATCTCTCCTGCTGACTCCCCAAGAAGCAGGTTTCTCTTTAGGGGTGCTGATCTCAGCAACTACACATACTTTGGCCACAACTTTAAACCTGCTTTATTTCTGGCCAAACTGCAAATTTTTCAAATCCTTCTGCTCTGCTTTTGGCTCCTGATTCTCTCTGTCACCTGGCTGAAAACCTCCAGCCTGTGCCACTGCCTGATCGCTGTGCTGCCGGGCACTTTCCTCCCGTAGGCCGAATAGTCTGTAAGCTTTGAATTCAGCCTGATAGAAAGTCTCAGGGCACCGACAAAACGCAGAAAGGCTCTTTGCAATAATGTAACCCGAATGGCCTCTAGTCCACTTCCCAACACGGTCCTCTTCCCCCTGAAACTTGGTGAGCACAGTTCTCACTGCGCACATTCCAATCAGCATCTGGTCCTGAGCTCCCACCACAATCACCCATCCAGCTCTGCTCGCGACACTCTGAGGCTTCTCCCGCCTGCATGTCCAAGCTCCTCCTGCAAACCAGTTCTCAGGTCTCGGAACCAGAGCAGCAGGAATCAACACAGCTGTGACCCCCATTCTGGGTCCCAATGTCTGTGTTGGTCACCTTTTTATCACTGTGACCAGAATACCTGACAAGAATAACTCAAAGGCGGAGGACTTATTCTGGCTTACAGTTTCAGAGAGATCAGTCCATGGTCAGCTGGCTCCATGGCAGAAGGACATAGCGGAGGAGAGCCGCTCGGCTCCGGGCAAAGCTGGGAGAAGCAGGCAAAGGGAGGTGGGGGAGGTGAGCCCCTTGGGCACGCCCCAATGACCCACCCCTCCAGCCAGTCCCCTCCCAGAAGTCCATTCAGCTCCCAGTGGATGTGGAAGAACACACTGATGATGTCAGAGACCTCATGATCGATCATTAGCCCACCTGGAGCCCACCTGGAGCCTACCTCGAGCCCACCTGGAGCCCACTTTGAGCCCACCACTGAGCCCACTTTGAGCCCACCTCGAGCCCACTTTGAGCCCACCGCTGAGCCCACCTCGGAGTCTTGCTGTGTTGGGGATGCACTTTTAACACATGAGCTTTTGGGGGACATTCCAGATCCCAACCAGAACAGCCCAGGACAAGCTGCCTGTAGCCCCCGAAACCCCAAGCACCATGCCTGCCCACAGGGTCTCTTCCTCAGGAAAGGAAGGCCTGGCAGCCTGCACACCCTCAGAACCCTGGCCTTATCTCGTGGTGAGTTCCAGCCCGGGCATGAGGGTCCAGGTGTCAGGAAGGAAAGGAGAGAAGAATGCTCAGCCCCGCCCCTCGGAGAAGGCTCGGAATGGCCCAGAACCTCTGCTCCAGCCTGATGAGAGCTGGCTGCCCCAGAGGGGGTGGGAGAGGAGGCCCTGGGGGTGGGGGAGGGTGTGCTTGCTGTCTAGCTGGGCTGTCAGCCTTCCAGCACACAACTCCACGACTGGGGGGCTGGGGGGTGGGGGAGAACTCATGTGAAGACAGGGACAGACAGGATGACAGCCCCAGGGCTCTGAGAGGAGCAGCCCAGGCAGCCTGGGGACTGGGCATGGTGGGAACCACTGCTGGCCCCTCCCATCTGTGGACAATGTCCCTCCTCCTTGCGGGGAGGGCCTGGAACACTCCATCTCCGTTTCCATATTGAGGGACAATCCCTGTTGGGCAGGTCAAGTCTGGAGCCCACCCCTAGATTAACCACACCAGGGGAGTGGCCCAGGGGCCAGCAGAACAGGGGTGCAGTTGGGGCTTGTTCCAGCCAGCATGGAGGCTGGAGCAGGCAGGACCCGCCTACCCCAGCTTCAGCCTGCTTCCCCAGTGTTCCCCTTTCCCTGGTCTTGCCCTCTCTGCTTTGTGCTGGGGTCAGCCTGTCCCGGCCAGCTCAGTGTCCTGAGGGCATGGGTCCTCCCCCACCCCCCAGCCCCCCAGTCCTGGAGTTGTGTGCAGGAAGGCTGACAGCCCAGCTAGACAGCAAGCACACCCTCCCCCACCCCCCACGGGGGAGGCCTTGCCTCCCCCCAGGGCCTCCTCTCCCACCCCCTCTGGGGCAGAGGGTGGGGAGGGCAGTTTTAGCTTAGCCTCCAGGGCTCTGGACTCTGCCACCCCATATATTCAGTGGAGGGTCCTGGGGAGGAGGGTCCAGAAAACCTATGGCTCCCTCAGAAGTGGAACAACGGCCTGATGGGCCACTTGCTGGGCACCAGTACTGGCCCCAGTCATCCCACCCGTGTTCTGTCTCTTGACCTCCCTAGCCGTCCCTGTTCCTCCCCACGGAGGGAGCATGAGAAGGCACACCCCTCTGGACAGTCCCTGTGGCACTCATGGCCTAGGGCTGTGAGTCAGTTGGGGTCAGCCCAGGCGCCTGTCCATACTGCTTCCAGACTCTGGGAGGAGCCAGGCAGAGCCCGTATCTCTCTGGGGCTGTCCCCAGGGTTGTGGGAGAGACCTGTTTAAAGAGGCATCTGCTGTGTGCCACCCCTTGTAGCTTTAGGAATTGTTTGCTTTTGTCCTAAGGATCTCTTGAGAAGACCGGATGAACCTCAACCTGAGGGTCACCAGCCCTTGGGACATGGGGGCAGGGACAGGCACTGTAGAGCCACCAGTTCCCTGGGGCCTACCGTGAGTCAGGCCTGATAAAGAAAGTGCAGGCCAGTGCAGGGGAGGGCCCCCTCTGTCCTCTCTGCACAGACCCCTGTCCCAAGCCACACAGACAGCTAGCCTTGTGCAACTCCTGGCCTCCTGCAGAGCCCCAGCCTGTCTTTGACCCACCTTGTCTCCTTTCTCCAGGAAGGCAGCTCTCCCCCCAGGAGGCCTGAGCAGCTCATGCCCTCACCCAGCACGGCCCAGGCTGGAGGATCTTGCCCAGGGTAGAGCCGGTCCCCCTCCAAGGGCACAGCTAGCACCTCTGGAGACACACTGGAGAGGGTGCTATGGGCATCTGTTAAGGTAGAGGCCAGAGATGCTGCTACAGGTCTCACACCACCACCAAGAGGCACCTGGCCTCCAGTGTCCACAGTCAAAGCCCTGGCAGCCTGCATGGCCAGGGGAGGGTTGGGAACAGGCCCGACAGTGGGGAGGAACACCCCGCTCCCTGCCCTCCTCCCTGCATACCAGCTGTGGTGTCCCCCACAGGCTATGGGGGCTCCAGCCACCTCAGCTTCCAGGAGCTCGGGAGCAACCTGGGGGCTGCTGTCCTGGGGACCCCTCGCCTGTCACTAACGGGGAGGACTGGGACAGGCTCCAGCAGGAGCCCACCGTCGGTAGGTTCCGAGGTGGAGGGAAGTCTCTGCCCTCCAGGAACCACCATCCCAAGAGGGCCTGCCACATCCCAAGAGGGCGAGTCCCTCACTGTGGCCACCTGCAGGCTGTACCCCGTCCTAGAGTGAGGTGGGAGCTCCACAGAGGGGCTGAGGCCCAAGTAGGGAAAGGGCATCCGGGCAGAGGGGCAGCTGGTGCCAAGCTGGGAGGGGAAGCTGAGGGGGTGGGGCAGGCCAAAGGGCACAGCAGGCGGGGTTGCCCTCAAAGCCAGATTTAAAGACAGGTAGTTGGTGTAGCTGGATGAATCCAGTCGGTCAGATGGAAAAACAGGAGCCTGATTAGAGCCAAGCACATGGGAAACAGCCCCTGGGAGAATGGAAGGCTCATGTCTCCAGAGCCCTTCGATACTCCCCCTCCCAAAAGAATTGTTTTAAGCAACTCCTGAGCAGACAGGGAGCTGCCCATCAAAGCCCTGGGCTTCTGCTCCCTTCCTGTCCAGCACTCCACCTGGCCCTTCCAGGCCACCTGCTCACCCCCTGGCCATCCCACCGCATCCCCAGCCTCTGTGCAGGGTGAGGGGAATGAACAAGATAAGGGAGAAGAATGCGGAGAACAGGGGGCTTCAGACACATAAAAGGGACAGGACTTCCTCATTCCACGGATTCTGCCTTTGGGTCCCCTTCTTCCACGTGGGAGAAGCCTGCTGCACTGTCCTTTAATAAAGCTTCTCACTTCCTACTCCACGCTTGCCTGGGCGTGCTTCTCTGCTGTGACCCTGCAACATGGAGGAAGCAGGACCCGTCTAGGTGACCAGTCACTGTTGGTGTCACCCAGAGGAGACTCTGGGGACAAAGGGCCTCCTCAGTCTGCTGCCACGGCAGAGGGTGTGCAGAGGGCTGTGTGCCACTGTGTCAGTGGGTGCTGCTGGCAGACTCAGGAGGTACCAGGGCTGAGGAGACCCGAGGGCAAGGGTGTGTGCACACAGCATGCGAACAAGGACGCATGTGTGCAGTGAGCTCGTACACACGTTAGAGTGTGCCTGTGACTGTGGTGTGGGAATGTGCACAGGGGGCAATCTTTGCCACCCCTGCCACCAGAGAGGACCTGCCACTCAAGGGCAGCAGAGGACACTCCTCCACCTCCACTTCCTGCCCCTCAGCTACATACCCCTGTCTCTGCCTTGGCAGCTGGGGCTTCCTTCCGGGGGAGGAACGCTGGGGCTGCCTCTCCTGCCCAGACTGGACCATGAGACCAAGGCTGCTCACCTCACACACACCTGTGCACACACAGGTGCCCATCCTCACAGAGTTGTGTGTAGAGCACACACACACGTGCCAAAACGCCAAGCTGGGCTCCAGGCTCACTCCTAGATCCCACCTGGAGTCCCCCGGGAGAAGGCGGGTGGGACCCTACAGTGTGGGAGGGTCCTCCCAGTAACACCCCATGTCCACTCTCCTGCACTGCTTTGCACGCTGCAGCCACCACCTGCCTCCACGGGGCAGTTCTGACCTCCCCTGGCCTGGAAGTTGACATCCCCAGATGTCTGCCCAGGAAGGCTTTGAGCTATCAATTAAATCCATCTCATAGTTGCAGGGCTGTCGAGGCTTTTGATTTCCTTTGGCCATTAATTTTTTTCTAATAATTGGTCCATTTCAAGTCTTCATTTTCAAAGATGTGGACATAGAGTCGTCATGGTATTCTCGTTATCTTTATCTGGCATTTCCTGCTTTGCATTTTTTGATTTTTAAATGGACATACAGGAAACCTCCCCTCTGATGTCGATATCCACAGGCTTGACCAAAGAACAGCCCTGATGCAGGGACTGTCCCACTGGCCCCAAACGCACCCCTGTGTGGTCAGCCCTGCTCCCTCTGCCAAGTCTGATGTCTTTCCCAGAGTTTGCATGGATAGAATCCTACAGTTAGTGCCTGTGGAATCTGGTTTCCTTTACAGAGAAAATTGCATTTGTGACTTGTGCACGGATGGGAAACAGCCTGAATTCAGCCGACAATTTTCCTTACTGCGTAGTCTCATCATTTTACGCATGGACCTTGGTTTTTACCTACTCATCAGTGGCTAAGTGCCTCATCTAATTCCAGTTTTCTGTGACTATCAATAAAGTTGCTGAAGGATTTGTGGCAGTGGGCTTTCTGGGGTCACGGGTGATAAACAGCCAGCTTTGCCTAAGCTGCACCAGTCTGCCTTCTCGCTGGCAATGGATGAGCACCCCTTCTGTGCACCCAAGGTGTCATCTCATTCCTGCACTTTCCCTACAAGCCTCCTGGACAGCTGATTCCAACTGGGATTTGACTGAGCTGCTTCCAGGCAGGCCCTAAGTCC